TGTACTTACAGGAGAACAGCAGGCTGGGGAGATTCATGAAGTTCTCCTGCAAAACACGAGCACATTCATCAAACACACAGACAGATGAGAGTAACACTAATGCTGGAACACTGCTGGGGTCATTCAGTGCTGGAGGCAGGGTTCATTCCCACACAATCATCCTGATTCTGTATTATTGTTTAGTCTTTAACATATAATTCTGTTTAATGCTGGGGTCACACCAGAGGACCATTCACAGCCTCCAGTTTGCCCATCTCTGCCTTAGAGACATTACTGCAGAGCTGCAAACAGCAACACCATGACAATCCATTACAATACTTAAGAAACTGATCAGCTTCAAGCTAGCAACCACTAAAACACAATAGCATCACTACAGAAGCACCCTGGCAACCAGCCAAGACACAACAGAAACACTTTAGAAACTGAATAGCTACACCTGATCAACCACTTAAAACACAAAAGAACCCTGATAAAAGCACCCTGGCAACCAAATAGAACTGTACTATGGCAACACCCAGGCAACCAATGAGAATACTTTAGAAATTGAATTGCTTCACCCTAGCAACCACCTAAAACACAATAGCAATCCCATATAAGCACCCTAGCAACCAACCAGAACTGCACCATAGCAACCCTTCAGCAACACTATGGCAACCTATGAGAACACCATAAAATTTAATGGCTACACCATAGCAACCACTTAAAACACTATAGCAAACCCCATATAAGCACACTGGCAAACACCCAGAACTATATCATAGCAACCCCACAGCAACACCCTAGCAACCAATGAGAACAATAAAGATATTGACCAGCCACACCCTAGCAACCACTTAAAACACAATAGCAACGCTATAGACCCATCCTGACAACCAGTCAAAACATCAAAGAAACAAAACTGCAGAGTTGCACCATAACAACCCCCACAGAAACACCCTGGCAACTAATGAGAACACCTTAGAAACTGAATAGCTACACCATAGCAACTACTTAGAACACAATAGCAACCCCATATAAGCACACCGGCAACCAACCAGAACTGCAGTATAGCCACCCCACAGCAACATCCTAGCAACCAATGAGAACACCTTAGATAATGACCAGCCACACCCTAGCAACCATTTAAAACACAATAGCAACCCCATAGAGGCATTCTGACAACCAAATCAGAAAATCATAGAAAACAGCAGCGTTTTGTGCATGAAACACCCTGGCAACCAATGAGAACACCTTATAAACTGAATAGCTACACCATAGCAACCATTAGAAACACAATAGCAACCCATATAAGCACACTGACAACTAACTAGAACTGTACCATAACAACTCCACAGCAACACCCTGGCAACCAATGAGAATACTTTAGAAATTGAATTTCTACACCCTAGCAACCACTCAAAACAAAATAACAATCCCATATAAGCACCCTAGCAACTAACCAGACTCGCACTATTTCAACCCCACAGCAAACCATGGCAACCAATGAGAACACTTTAGAAACTGAATAGCTACACCATAGCAACCACTTAAAACACAAAAGCAACCCCATAAAAGCACACTGGCAACCAACCAGAACTGTATCATAGCAACCCTACAGCAACACCCTGGCAACCAATGAGAACACCTTAAATAATAAACAGCCACACCCTAGAAACCTCTTAAACACAACAGCAACCCCATATAAGCCCACTGGCAACCAACCACAACTGTACCATAACAACCCCACAGCAACCCCCTGGCAACCAATCAGAACACTTTAGAAACTGAATAGCTACACCATATCAACCACTTAAAACACAAAAGAACCCCATTTAAGCACCCTGGTAACCAGCCAAACCCAATTAGAACCAAAACTGTATTGCTGCACCATAGCAACACCCGGGCAACCGAAGAGAACACCTTAGAAACTACATAGTAAC